ATTAGTACACTATAATGAAGAGCTTCATAATTTGTCCCTCAGAATTACTGGATTTTTGGACTTCTTTCATCGTCCACTATTCTAAAAACGAGAAAACACATCGTTTTGGAAACTGGATGTGTCTCTGCCCTCAGATGAGGGGGGAGACACCTACTCTGTTGTGTACTTTAGAAAAAGTTAACCTCAATCGCTGGACTGACTAGGGTTAGCTTTTTCTAAGGAACCAAAGAGAACAAGTGTCTCCCCCCTTCAAATGAGGACGGAAACACATCCAGTTTCTGAAATGCTGTGTTTTCTAGTATTTAAAATACCGGATCGTGGACAAAGTACGAAATCCAAGTAATTCTGAGTGTTATAGAACATCATCAGAACCCTTCAGATTCGACTTCATAATTTGTGTTCTTCATCAGGTTTCTACCAAGGGTGATAAAATGAGTGGAGATTGTGCCATGTACGTGAGAGGTATGAATCTGTGGTCAAGGACACGAAGATAAGACGTCATTTGTGAGGTAGGATTATATGGGTGGGAGGATAATATAAAAAAGGATTATAAAAAATAAATTGTGAGTTTGTGAATAGGATTCCTCTGCCTCAGGGTAGGATCCAGTGAACCTTCGAGTCTATGAAAGGCGAGGAATGCCTCGAGTAAGTGAAAGACTATTAGCTTCCTAAAAAGCATTCTAATCAATGGAGTTCGATAATACATGTATGCAGAATGAAGAAATGAACAGGAAATATAACCTTTTCGGGAACCTAAAAGGAAATGGAAGGATAATATGAAAGAGGATATTCAAGGAATAGAGTGTAAGTGGTTTCACATGCGTTAGAAAGAGACTAGTATAGGACCCTTGTGAAACCTATAACTAACCTTCTGCTTCCATAAGAGCGACTGCAATTTATCTTTGTATTGTACCATGGATTTATTATTGTTATTATTATTATTACTTATCAACCTAAAATTGTTAATAATATTTGTTCATATTCCTAATGTTCTGTGTTATGTAGTTCTTAGTTATCATGTTCTTGTTACCGCTCCTTATCTTTGTTTGTTTGTTTACTTCTCTGTATTAATTTGTTTCCCCTCAGTGCTGTGTCTGTAATTAGCTTGTACCTGTTGACTTGGCAAATTAAATAATAAAGAATTGAATTGAATTATTACCCATTACTTAATTTTATTATTACTTGACTTTATTATTATCATCATCATTACTCAGATGATACAAATTGCCTTGTTTTGTACTTTGTATGTGTCTGTTTCNTTGTCTAATGTTTGTATAATGTTACACTTAATTACTTTCATCTTCACTGTGCTAAGTCTGTAATTGGCTTTACGGCTGTTGACTTGGCACATAAATAATAAAGAATTGAATTGAATTGAATTATTATTATGGTGCATTTGCGCCATGCAAGAATTGTTGAGCCACAGAAATCGAAATCTGTAAACACGCTGATTACGCAACAATAAGGAAAGTGCTCTTTTCTCCGCGCTCGTTGCTAGACAGCGCTGCGGTAGACACATCTCGGCAGCTGCTAATCAACGCGGTGCTAGAGAACGCCCCTGTAGACGCGAAGATTACGTAACAGTAAAGTTAGATGTGCTTTCCGCGTGTCCGTGCGAGGATTTATAGGAGAGACTGGAATTATTAAGAAGTCAGTTCTCGGTGCGAAACAGCTGAGGGAGGTTCGTAGTGGAAGAAGACCTTAACGAGCGATTTGAAGGTTTTATGAGTGATACAGTGCAGTGATATTGAGAGTGTGTGGTGAGTGAGACGTTTATAGCTCCCGTGTTATAAATACGTGAACACTGGTGGAGATTGAAGAGGTTAGTGTGGAGTGATAGTACGTTATATAAATCAGTAATAGTGTTATAATTAATTGTAGTTACAAACTTTGGGCTACTAATAAATCCAATTACCAGTCCGAACCCCATCTCTATTCACTAATACGCATGATATTATTATTACAATGCTGCAGACGATGTTCTGAGAATCGGAGCTGAGAAACAGTCACGCTGCCTAACCATTTTGAAGGTCGGTTCCTTGTCAACACTGAAGTTGCTTCCTGAGAACAAAAGGAGCAGGCTACATCAAGTCGCAAGAAGTGGATACATGGATCCACTTGAGATGGAAACATGCATCCAACATAATATACCATATGCAAAATGCGTGTCGTTTTTTGAAAGCGGCCTTCAATATGAACTAAAATAAGACGTCTATTACAGGATACACCCTCTCCGTCCTTCCGAAGGGAAATATTAATAGCCATATAGCGTCACAGAAAAAGAAATGTTAACAGTTTTACAAGTTCTAAACGGTAAGAAAATCGAGTTTTAGTGGAAAGTGGAAGGCTGCGCCCTTGGTGCAATTGTATCGGTCTGCTTGTGCAGAGTGTGTATGAAGCAGCGCTAGCTGATGTTCTCGCGCCGTTGAGTGTGAACGTGTATTTTTCTCATAAATGTGACGCTGGGTGGTCTCACAGAAAGTTATTAACATTTTAATAGAACCTTCTGTCTCAAGCATAAATCCTACTTTGTTTAGCGGGTTTCCGAGTTATTATACGCCTGGGAAAAGCTTCGAATTTCGATCAGGGAGCTCAATGACCTAAGGGACCTTTCAGCTCAGTCCTTGCAGACGAGTACTGGAGTAAAATCTGTAAATTTATCAAGGTCGCACCCCCCCCATTCTTTGTAAGTTTACATTGAATAATGTTACATTCATTTAATTCTTCGTCAAATATCCTATGTATTTGATATGTCGACGTTACATGACACGAAACATACCTAGGGGCTGACATGGGGAGGGATAAAAGCTTCGCACTATGCATTTACTCTTTGGTAAGTGTCAATCTAGTAATGAGTCGGTCGGTCGGATAAATTGTTGTTGGCCGTCGATAGCACAGTCAGTATTGGTTTCGGATCCCATCAGGACCCGTGACCATATTTTCGTTCTTTCCAGATTTCAACGTGTTTTTAAATGGGGTCTTCTGTTCGACAAGACTACTGGTAACTCCCCATCTACTGGAGGAGACACTGCACTAATGTTGGTCGGGTCAAGTAAAATGGTACTGGTCCTCAGCAGCACAGTCATTCTTGACTCAGTCCAGCCCAGTCCAATCAATTGATGCTAGTCCTCGCCAGCACAGTCGTACTTGGTTTCGGGTCTATGATCATGTGTTCGTTCTTTCCAGGCTGTAACGTCTTTTGAAATGGTGCCTCCTATTCAAAGCGAGAAACGTTCTGACGACTACTGGTCACGCTCCTTCTACTAGGTCACTCACTCAGTCAATCCCATACATTGTTACCGAGCCTCGGAGATTTCTTTAACTGGAACAAATTAACCCTACAAAACAGAACAAAATAAAAGAAATCCCGCCGCTTTAGTCCGTAAGCGAACTGAACCGACTGAGGGACCGCCGCTTGTCGGAGAAGTTAGTGCCAAATTTCGCGGATAGAGGGTGTCGCGTGGTCAGCGCAATGAATTCCCAAGGCCGTCAATTTCGATTTTCTAGACCGGAGCTACTATTTCCTTGAAATAGCTTCTCAGTTATCTTCACGAGGCCGAATAGACCCCGTTCCAGACCCACTACTTCTCAGAAAATCTGGTAGCTCCGGGAATCGAACCCAGGACCTCTGGATCTGTAGACAGGAACTCTGACCACTAGACCACAGAAGCGGCCAAACTCTTTAAAACACGGTAATCTATATTCTTATGACTTCCAGCTGCTTTAATATTAAACATGCCTGTGAGCTGCCCGAAAATTGTTTTTTTCTCTTTGTGATTCTTACAGTAACAATTCTAATAAACTGGTCTTTGACTCAAACGGTTAGTCTCTGGCTTCCCACCGCGGTGGCCCGGGTTCGATCTCAGGTCTGGTTAAGTCGGATTTGTGGTGGACAAAGTGGCGCTGGGCCGGGTTTTCTCCGAGTACTTCGATTTCCCCTGCAAATCTTCATTCCACCAAATTCTCCACCATCATAATCACCCGGGGCAGGCTACAATAGGCCAATGAGTGGCCGCTGTGCCGAGTGGAACCAGTTGGACTCCACCCTCCACTAAGTAAATTAAAAAAAAAAATTAACTGGTGTTTGAACTGCAGAAGAAATGTGTTCTTTTGTGGGGAGTATGAAGTAAGTTTATAAGTGCTGTATAGATTAATTTCGTGTTTAAAAACGTTAAACAAAGGCTACTTAAAGAAAGCAGTCTTCTGGGATTTGGCACCGTGTATATGTGGTGTTAACCGACGTTTCGGAGGAACGTATCGCCCCCATCTTCAGGGTAGAA